GAGCGCCGCTGAACATACGCGTGTGAAATTAGCTCATTTAAACAAACTGTGAGCTGATTTGAGCGGTAATAAAATACACAATAACAATGATTTTTAGTGTTTAATTTATCAGCCCAGTAATTTATTCGGTTCAGTTTTCGTATTACATAAAAGTATGTACAGTCCTAACGGAACTCAAATAGGACTCCAATGGGAGGGTGATTAACGGAGGAGCGTCGGCAGGACTGGAGTGGGACTCAAATAAGACGGTCAACCGTCCCTCTGTGCGGACGTGACAGATAACGAATCCAGAATTCGCGTCAGAACACAAGGCTGGGAAATCTACGTGCAGTGTTGCATAATCATTCATGAATTAATAGAAATAAAACGGCTTAGGGGCAATCTGGTCTGAAGAAAACAATCGGTTCGACACGACAAGGGCAAACGTGCCAGGAAAACACTCTCTTGGAAATCGGAGGAGGAATGCGATGTGGATCTAGCGGCAGTGCTATCTAAAGGGCGGTGAGGACCAATCACATGGATGGGATAGCAAAGTGACACCAAAGTCGAGTGTGTGTGCGGAGGGGGGGGGGCGACATATGGTGACCGTAGTCCCGGCGTAATCAAGAGTAGACAACGGACACGAGGAGAGTGTCTGGGTTGGTTAAACACACTCAGGCGGGCGGTAACATGTGTCAAGAAATAACTGATTGCGAGAAATAATGAACAGTAAGAACAATGAAGAAGGTAGGATAATCATAGCGGGTAGGTAATGAACAGGTGACTACAATAACACGACGCATTTTCTAAGCCGGGTCGATATAATTGATAGCGATCACGGATTGAGCGCAGAACGAGTGACGACAGTTAGTTCAACAGTCTCATGCTGGTTGGCGATAATATATTACTATAGTAGGACGACAATTATGACAATTAACACGCAAAAGTTTCCATGCGGGGTGGAGATAATAGATTAGGATAACAGGTTGGTCGCAGAACGGGTCACGACAATTATCACGAAAGTTGCTATGTGCAGCGGTTAGATAATCGTAGGGGAGATACGGAAAAGTGCAAACTGAATGGCCATGGAGGGGGAAGGTAACAGGATCCGATCCGGTGGGCAAAGGTCATGAAACTGGGAGTTGGTTAGGATCGCACATGAATTGTTGCGTTTTTAACAGATCACGGGTAGGTCCAGTGTACGTAATTTCAATCGTACAATAGAGCATCTTACACACGTCGCCGCCATTTCGGATTGAGAGTGAGTCGTGTGCATGTCTCACTGGACCTTCTGGTTCGTGGTTATTTTGTACTTTCACTGTCTTACAGGTTGTTTGGCAATACCATTTCCACGGAGAACCTGTCGTCCGAAGTGTCTCCTACCCGTGCATTGAGAGTGTCTGTACTGGGCCACATTTAAGAGTTGGTTCGATACCCCAAACAGGGTTTTGTATATCGGCATTCTCCTCCACGTTACAAAACGAAAGACGCGAAAGTACACTTCTTTAAATAGATAAATAAAATCATTAATTTTTATCTAAAAAATATTATAAGTATTTTTAAGTGGCCACTTTTAGAATGAACTAAGAATGATGGAACCAGAATGGGGTACCGATCGATAACGTGCGCTGAGTACTTTTGAAAACGTTTCGAAGCAAGATCATCTACCCACCAAGCTGTTATTGTACACTGAGACATCTAGGGCTCACTGCAAGGAGCTGAGTGGATTTTGGCCCGATTCACCAGTCCTGTGATCTGAACTGAACTGATCGTCAAAAAAATTACGACAGTTGGCAATCATCTCAGATAACTTCAGAGAGCGTTGTGAGATTAGCATTCTCAGCTTACACACATGTGCCGAAATAACGGTTTCACTCGTGCATGATAGCAATCGTGTATGAATATAGTTTATGCTGGGAGTATGCGACGAACGCTTTGCCGAGGTTTAGGGACTGGCTTAACGGTACCCCGAGATAATACGGCTATACCGCAAACGAACGTTCGTACAAAGCAGAACCCAACATTTCACGAAACGGAGGACAGTTGTATTGTTACAACCTGCAGAGCAAAAAGGGAGATGCGAAAGCGTGAGCAAGTGTTTGGAAAGTGGAAGCAAACACGTGCTGACCAAAGAGGTGTGGTAAAACAGTGAGATGCAAAGGAGGAAGGATACATGTATAATGGGAATTGGTTGGCGTCACTACAAAGGTTGAGATAAGTCCACTTGTTAATCATCCCCCAGAACCTACCAGTTTAGGTACACCCAGCGTGGAAAAACGAAAGGCACTGGTGCACTTGGCTGAATTGGTCTCGAATAATTGTATTTTGTTTACCGGACTATAATCTACAAGGGTGAGCAGACAGAAAAACTAACCACTTCATGGTTACCGACAATACTATTTACACCATTCGTCAAAACTTCACAAAGAAGTTCGCCAACTGGGAACATATGGAGTGTACATTAGTTTCGCAGTNTGCTAATGCGATTCGACGGAAACCGGTATCTCAGCTACTCTGTGGCATTTTCGTATTTCCTACCACCTAATCTGCCGATGACCGGAGTGCTTAAAGTCCATCATTTTTGCGCATAATTTATCACGAACCTCTGAATCATAGTTCTTTACAGCATAATAAAACCCATGCTGACGGAAGCACCAGAGTTTGGGTTCACTGTAAGCAGTAGGCATCTTCTGACAGTCCGAGTCAATGGTCAATCCTATTCTGCGAATGATAACGACTCTATTAGTGAGACATTGTTGGTTGAATTGATCAAACTGAATGGTACTCACAGAAGTATAACATGGCTGGGTAAACAAATCTTTATAACGAATGATAATTCCGAAGATATTTATTAAGTGAACCAAGGAAATTCTTTGGATTCTTTACTCAGAGAACTTGTTGAACTTCTTTGAAAAGTAATCCGTGAATCACAGGCGTTCACAAATACAGACAATTTTGTGGAAACGAATTCTGTTTTGTGAGGAAGTAAACAGTGAATGAGTAAGATGTCAGTTGGTAATGCATACAGTGATGACTGTTTGAAATACTAACAGGTATATTCATGTATGCATGACGAATACATAAATGCGTTGAACTAATAAGCAACAGATCCGCTTGACCGTCGTGTAATATCTGGGTCCGACGGTAGATTTACACTAAATGCATTGTGTGCACAAATTGCTCTGCGTCGACCGCCGTAACGGAACTCGTTCGCAATCTGATCAGGTAATATGCTGAGCAACATACTACTCCGTCGTCGAAGTGATGATTGGCCCATATTCGATTCACTTGGCTCAGTGATACAAACAATCGATCGATCAGCGATACTGACTTTGCGTCGTATGCGTTGCATAATCGTTGGACGCAACCAACGCACGTACACGCATTCGATGAACAGAGCGAGAAAACTGCACCCGATTGCAACGCTGAGTATGATCACTGCACCAAGCACATCGGTTATAGTCATTTGTCGATACTGTGGTTCCTTGTCCTTGCATATATTCAGGGCAAACCACCATTTGTTGATAAGTCGATCAATGGAGCCATTCTCTTGCAAACCTTCCAAACTAAAGGTAACGAAAAAATAAATCCAAGATTCAAATGCAACAGGATTGAACACAAGAAGTTTTGTGCAATGTATATTCATAAAAACCAAAAAGTGTTGCAAATGAGAATCTTTTGACCGATTTTACCAACTCAGCCCCGTACACTGTCATGTGACTTCATCGCAAATTTTACAGGGTCAGTTTAAAAAAGACAGTGTCAGAATTCCGCAACTGCAAATGTGGAGACGTTAGCGTAAGAACACGGTAAAACCTTACGTTAGGCAACATTCTATCACGTAGATGTCATTTTATCAAACTTCAGAGATGTTAACGGTTGAATTTGCCACACGAATATGACAAATCACCCTCAATCGCTATCTCCCTCTCTCTCAGCCACACCTTCCTTAGGTTCCAATGTCCCATTTACCGTTTTTGATCGATTGATATGATAACCGATCATTTCCCACACCTGCACACCCACACGGGCTCTCACACAGAGCTGTGTTTTTAATTCTAACAGCCCCTGTCTGTCTAACTGTGCTACCAGTGTGCTTGTTTATCCTAAGGCAGTGATTGAGAAGATTAAACGAAATGTTAACATCTCGTGATATATATCTTCTGTGGGCCTCGATGAGAGCTTTAGACCGGTGAAATTAAGAATTCTTTTCGATTATTCATTTTCAAGCTTCTACATTAATATACGATCACAAGATAGCAACAAAAGTCATGATTCATAAAATAAACCGGTGTGGGAGGAGGAAGGGGTTCGGGAGTGCTATCATCATTCGATCAAACTGATTACGCAACACGTTCGTGCAGTCATGATTTGATTTCTTTGAAAAACGGTTAGTTGCGTCATATCTTTGGGCCATGGTAAACTCAGTATGTGAATAATCCGTTTTTTGTTTGCACAGTTCGGGGTGGTGGATATGAATGGCTACCGTTTCGACCGTGCAAAGCATAAACTGCCTCACTTCTAGGAGCCGATTCATCGTGGCTCTGTAAATTACCTTAAATAACCTCTCGACATCTAACGTATCCCGTGTTGATCAGATGCTCCGCAATTGAGCTACGAATGACCTTTGATAGTGCTTTTCTCAACCAGGCCGGATGACGCTCTTAAATCTGTTTGGTCAATTGCCGACTGATACTGTGATGGAAGGCGGTACAAAGAGAGTCCTGGCTAGCGACCGAATCAAGAATGGGGCTCATCCGACCAGACGTGCAGACGCAGCCGCGGGAAGTGCCTCGCGAGAAAATGTTGACTGCCACCCGAAACGAGTGAATCGAAAAGTACAGCCCGACAGACAGTCCGCAGCTAACGAGAAAGATATCCACCGAGTGCCACAACGTCGGAGGTGTCGATCAACGCATCTCGCGCCGCGATCGGGTCAAACCAGTCGGAATGGCACGCGGAAGAAGAGGCAACGTATGTGCCAAGTGCGGACCAAAACCAACAAGGAATGACCCACAGAAAGAGGCATGAATCATCCCACCGCGCGGATTAGAATTGGCTGTATATAATCGAACGCATATGCCGTTTGCTTTTGAATTGGATCAATAGACGTTTTACCCAGCCAACTAGCCTTCTAGTTACAATACGACCTATGTAACCGACTCCACAGGAGCACGTGAATCGATAGACACACATAGAACAGTTAACAGTGGCAGCTGATCCTCGAATATCTGAGCGATGGCCGGATATGATGAGTACAACATTTTCAGTTGGACGGCGTAAAATGTGGACTCTAATGCTTTTGAGAGTCTCCTTTCAAACAGTTCACTGTCACCATCGTTGACGAAAGGCACACTGATAAATAATCATTTCTTAGGGCGATGTAGATTTGTGTCTTTTGCGGTTTCGTTTCCAGATACTCTTCGATGAACTTGTCTGGTATTCATTCTGTCGGAAAGTACTTTGTGGGTTCCTTAACTCACCTGTTAATGTTCCGTTAAAAAAGACAGACAACGCATTAGGTTTTACTTTTGCTTGATTGGTACTGCACTGTGGAATTTTATGTATTGATCATTCCAAGTTATCTGTCACATGTTCCGTTTCCCCTGGCTGTTGTTTCGGTTTTTAGCTTGATTCCATGCCAAGTTTTTACTTAAGTCTTTATTCGTTGCTTTCCCCATCATGCTCCAAATTCGAACCCCAAGGTTGTCATTAGCCGTTTAAAACCTGACCTCTGCGTGCGAAAGTCCTTTGTGATGCAGTTGTTATTACTATGGTAATCCCCCCTTTCTTGCTCCTCATCTCAGCCGTTCCCTTACATCATCGTCGATACTTCACCATTCTCATTTCCTCATTACGTCACTCTTTTCGACCTACTTAATTGACCAATTTTCTACTCCGTTACCTTTCTACGTCCATTCTGGTTATATCTATTTCGTATTACGTAACCATTT